TGTGCGGGAGATTCACCAAACGCGTCACCCAGGAGCTGAAGGACAGGTAGACCCCGCCCGTGGCGGGCTCTGGACACGCCCACAGCAGGAACCCCGCCCCTCAAAGACCCTCCCGGAACGCTCAAAGTGGATGCCGACCACTCTCTTACTTGCCCCGCCCACTGCCATTTTTCTTCGCTTTCCCTTGCTGTGGATGGGGTGCCAGTTTGGGGGCTCGGAGGCAAAGGCGTGAGGGAGCCCAACGTGTAAGTGTAGAAGGAAAAAAAAAAAAAAGTAAGTTGTCACATGACCTGCCTCGACAGCGTGCCGCAGTGACTCCACCCCATTCCAGAAATGTGCGACGTGTGTTTGATTCATTGCCGTGGGACTGCTCGGCCTGCGGGGGCCAAGCAAATGCCTCCGCCCCCTCCCCTCACGGCCCCATTCCTCTTCTTAACTTGGCTTTTGTTTTGCTTTAAGGTACTGCGGGCACGAAGGTCACGGATGGACGCCCCGGTGCGCCTCTTTTAGTTCCACATCACACCCGTGTCGCGAACGCAGCAGCACGCCAGGCGGCCATTTCTGTGACGTCATCATAGTGCCACACTGTCACCGCACCGTCCGTGACGCTTCAGGACATCGCTGTCAAGAGACAACCTCTTTTTCGTCAATGGACGCTACAGTTTCTTGTTGCTTTCAAGCTTAGCTTGTAGCAGACGTGTGCACATTTCAGCACGACGTCTTTGATCCACTGGTGAAAGGACACTTGGATTCGCTCCTCTTGCATCTTGCAGGAGAGTGGTTAAGATTGCACGATTGTCTGTGTCTAATGTGGTGTCTTGTCCTATTTTGTCATTTTATGTTAACTTTTCTTTTGATGGCAACGCAGGCATTTTCGTTTGTCCTCTCGCCTGCAAACCGAAAACGGGTTTGGTGTTTTGGAGCAATGGGCGCTTGCTCCGCGTGACAAGCGGCGAAGTGAAAGTTTCCAAGGCTTTGTTTTTGTCGACCGTCAAGAGAAAACAATCCACGCCTTGTTGTCTCTTGACACATTTTATTGCTTTTGTTGAGCAAGGAAAAGAGAGTGGCACACCAGATACGTCTCGTGTCATCGCCGGCTGCTGACAAAGCCTCCATTGAGAGCAAAATGTTTAAAGAGCAAACAATTCGGTGTTGGGCAAAATCGGATTCGTACAAATTGGAGCGAAGCTTCGTCATCCTTTCATGCTTTTGGGATGACATAACCGTTTTTCGAGACTTTTTGGAAAGACTCAGCTCATACTGCCGAGTTTCTTCAGTTCTTCACATTTGAGAAATCGCATCTGCAATCATGCAAATTTTCTTATTTCGTCCTCATTGCTGCAACAGAATTTTTGCGAGTGATCCTTTTCTTGAGGTGACTTTTTTTTTTAAATCTTCATCTGCTCTCCATCCCAAATTTGGTCATTGCGTCTCTTTTTAACGCCGCGCGTTGTTCCTCGGCGTTTTTGTACATTTTGTCAAATTGCGATGACGAGCGTGGGGGCTGAGACCGGCCAAGTCTCAAGCGGGGGCCCGCGTCCCAAGTAAGCGAAGGGGGATTTGCGAGAGGGCAGGAGAGTCGCCTTCACCCTCGTGCGCGCGATCGTCGCTTTCTAATTCGAGATTATGGCCTTGATACGCCGGAAGACAGGATAGTTCCCCGGAACGCAGGTGCCTCCAGCGAAGTCATCCAGTTCCAGAGAAGTCACGTAGGCTCCTCCAAAGTTGTGAGTCACGACGTGCTGGGCCTGGATGGGGAGGCAAAAAAAAACGGTTCACATCTGAAGGAGGGCCGCAAGAATTTTGCTTGATTATTTGACATACCTTGTCGTCGATGGTCAGATCGCTGTCGATGACAACCGTGGGCGGAAGCAACGGGGCAACGCAGACCTGAAAGATGGACTCAGTTTGCCGTGGTGCCGTCTCATTGCCTTGAATGCTCCGCGGTCTCGGATTGTACCTGGTATTTGGCCCAGATCTTTGGATTGGCGTTGTTGGTGTCAAAACCGTACACGGCGATTCCCATGTTCAGCTTTGCTTTTGGTGCTTCCTTTGCTACCCACTCATCCATTCCTGCATCCTAAAATGAAGGGAAAGCCTTAATGGGCAAGAGGACGAAAATCGGAAGGCTTGCGCCAACTCTGAGTTGCCACTGGCACCATGAGACACGAGTGGAATTTGTTCCCCGACACCAAGCACTTCATGTGTTTGTTTTTGAATGAGGGAAAGCTTGCGCTCCACGAGTAAACTCCTGCTATTTGAGGGAATAAAAAAACGGTCTGGCGTTGGGCTGAATCCTCGCGCCTCCCAAATCCTCCTCCTCCTTTTTCAGTTTGTTCAACCTTTGGCGTTACCTAGTTGAAGTGAGTCAACTCTTTCGATGGGCAATCACTTGGAAGAACAACGACCGGTCATGCGCACTAACAACTCGTTTCACTCTGTGACCAAATCAGACGTTCGCGCCGGCGAATGAGCTGAGAATGAACCGTTGCGTGAATTCCCTGACAGATTGCTTTTCGCCTGCTGAATCCATTCAAGGCGGAGAAAGTGCGAGCAGAGCCCAAACGGGCAAGGCAAAACCTGATCCAAATATCTCAAGGGTCTTTGCGGGCTGCGCTTTGCCTGTTCCCTGCTATCATGAATTTTTGAGGGAATAAAAAAACGGTCTGGCGTTGGGCTGAATCCTCGCGCCTCCCAAATCCTCCTCCTCCTTTTTCAGTTTGTTCAACCTTTGGCGTTACCTAGTTGAAGTGAGTCAACTCTTTCGATGGGCAATCACTTGGAAGAACAACGACCGGTCATGCGCACTAACAACTCGTTTCACTCTGTGACCAAATCAGACGTTCGCGCCGGCGAATGAGCTGAGAATGAACCGTTGCGTGAATTCCCTGACAGATTGCTTTTCGCCTGCTGAATCCATTCAAGGCGGAGAAAGTGCGAGCAGAGCCCAAACTCTGTGTGGAGGCCAGCCCGACTTCTTGACCTCGAACCCCAGCTCGGGGGCTCCTGTCGCGTTCGCTGCCCCCGCAGCGAGTTTCTGTTGTTGGGGATCGAAGGCCTTTTACCGACGGGACAGCGGCCCTCGCATCCGTCCCATGTTTCTCTCCGCCAAACTTTCCTTCGGCCGTTGGTTGACAAATCCCATTGGAGCCGATACTTCCACAGTGGGTCTCGCTTACCGCTAAGGGGAATTGGCCGGAAGTAGAAGTTCGGTCAAGATCAGCGGTCATCACGTTGAAGAAGTTGACGATCCTGGGCAAACGTACACGCACGGCAGTTATCGCCCATCGTAGCGTCAACGCGGCAAAGCTACCGAATGAGATTTGTGCTTACTCGGCAAGCTCTGAGACCTCGTAACTGTCATCGATGACAGAACTCTCACCGGATACGCTCGCGGTGAGCAGTCGCTCGCCCAGCTCGTCTTCCAGCTCGTCTTCCAGCTCTTCTTTCAGCTCCTGCTCAGCAAAAACGCCACCATCAAGCTTTTGGCAAACAGTCGGCAAATTTGCTCCCCGTTTCGAAGGGGACAATGTCCAAGATCAGACCTGCATGAGAGCTGTGAATCCTATCTTGTTTTGGTTATTTTCTTGGCTTTGCGACCACAAAATGTTGACGCCATCGAAGCCAGCAGCATCCACGACGGTGATTACAGATGTGATAAAAATGGCCCTGTTTGCAGGTGTGAATCTGGTAGATGAGAGCAAAAGCAAGTTCTTGACACAAACACCCACAAAAAAAAAAAAACACTTCCACTGCTTCCAATTGAGAATTCTTAGCAAGTGCTGTGCTGCCTTGAGATATGAGTCCAGTGTGCCCCCACCCCACCTCGTCCCTCCCCCCCCAAAAAAACAAACATTTCATGAGGTAAAGAGGACTTGCTTTTCCATGCTTTTAAATCCCAATTAAAAGCTATTGGTTTTTTTTTGTTTGTTTTTTTTTCCCCACTACCTTCAATTCAGGACTTTTTGTCATTGTAAATAATTTCACTCAACGGTCTTAATGAGTAAGTACTTTTTATGTCTGGAAACGTTTTGGCTGTCAAAGTGCTCTATCGGTGGTCCATTCTTTTGGTCGTTCAAATCGGCCGTTTGAGTCTTTGCTTTGTGTCTTCCGTTGTTACTTTGAGGTGTCCTAATTTCGCTTCTGCGAAGCACGTTGAGTTGCCTTGCGTACGACACGTGCTCAAAAAGAATAGACGTTGTGCAGCAAAATTAATCAACGCCTTGTCAAGCGTTGAACAGTTTGTACGTCGTGATTCGATGCGGTGGTCCGTCCCTGTGCTGCCCCTTCTGGTGTGCCCGCCTTGGTCACCAGGGGGCAGTATAACAATATAACAATAGACTTGTTCTATCGCTGCTCACGAAGTTGCCTTAACACGAGTCTCTTTGTGCCGAGGATGGATCAACAAATGCTTCGAAAGATTTGCCTGACAGCCTTTAACGATGAGCGTTTCTGTGGGGTTTTGCATGCTTCATTAGCATGAAGCGAAGTGGGCCGCAATCTGCTCGGTGTGTTTTGTGACTCACATAGCGCTGCTAGTCTGGGTCAGATCGACTTCCAAAAGGGTTTTCGCGGTTGCGCTGCAATTGGAACAAAGACGTTTCCTTGTTATTGTTCGACGGATTCAACAACATCGCAAAAAGTGCCCCAAACCTGACCTCGGAAATGCCAAATTGAAGTTGTGATGATCCTGAATTGGCCCCCCGCTTGAGGGAATCTGCATTACTGCACTTGGCTGGACAGATTTGAAGACGATGTGGGTGCAC